TCTGCGTGCTACAATTTGTCTGGCTGTTGGTTCGTTACTCGAAACTTGTCGATTGCAAAAGCTCCATCGGTAAAACCGTATCGAATGGTAAGCAAATCCCGGCTACGGTAGTATTCGATAGGTCGAAGCACATTTCACGAAAACCTTTGTGCATCGAGCAATTGTGCGCGTTTAAAATACTGGTGGAAAAAGTGGCGGCAGATAAACGTTTGATCGTTGAGCGGTTTTGCGTCATATCGTTTTCTGCATCCTCCCAGGCCAAGTATATCGGTAGAACGAGAATAACCGTTCAATGTGCGGTCGATCTATTTATATGGTCGATCAGCTGCGCGGCCTGGTCATAACTCGATCGCGAGTTGTTCCATGGCATACGCGTGAACGGTGCTAAGCGTGTTTAGCATTCTTCGCTGTGGGAAAACACATGTGTGTAGATATTTCGCGACCAGAGAATCAGAACAACTAAAATTTCGATGGAACAGCGATATTTCCTTTCACTGTTTTTATTTTTCGGATTTCTGTCTTTTCTTTTCTTTTCTTTTCCTCTTTCTAACCGCAAACGTTCTCCAGCAGCGGATTCACCGGTGAAAGAACCGCGTTACCGCGTTCTTTTCAAAGACGTGTCACGGTACTTGCAACGGTTTCAACACGTCTCACGTGTAGTCCATGTGCCATGGCGAGACATTGTTATCTGCTTATTGCGGTTAAATATAGCTAGTGCTCTGAACCGGCGTTCAAACACGGAGACGATATCGATACTGGTCGCTGGTTCGCTGTTTCGATGCCGCGAACACAGTTGAGGATCGAGACGCGACATCTGACACGATTCGTGCGACGCGAAAATTCACGATATCAAACAACCGATCGTGCATCCGATTCAACTCGTTCCAACAGCGTTTCAAACAAACACGTTTTCTACTGTTGTTCGAAATATGTGTAATTCACGTTGCTCGGTCCGAGGTCGTAAAGCTATCGATATTTTGGATCTTATCGTTCGACTAACTTTTTACCAATGTTTTACCTCGTTTAAGATTTTCATTCGTCGATCGTTCTATTAATAGTGTTTATTATCGGCATCGAAATCGTTCCGTATCGCTATCGAACCACGGAACTTTACGTTGTTGCTATATCGCTGATACTCTTTTCGAATAGAAAATTCTACTTTGCAAAACTGACACGTTCTACTTCTATTAATCATCCAACGTAATGTGTGTCATCGACAACTCGGTCTACTTATAAATAGATTTCGTTGCGAATAATCCTCTCGTGTCATGTGGTATCGTAAAGAGTTTGTCGCCGCATTCGAATGAAATATTACCGACTTGTGCGTTTAGCGGAATATTGGATACGTAATCGTTCGTTAATTCTCGTATGGGCATCTAAGCGATTGTCTCGTATGTCGTGCGAAATAGGTATCTGTGTGTACTATTAGGATGTTGATATTACCTATTATAAATATGAATTGTAAAATGAACTAGAATCTTGAAGTTTATAAAAAATTTGAAAAGAGTTGGACGAGTACGTCGAAAGTAAACAATGATCGAAATCGAGCCGAACCGGATGACCGAAACAGTAAGAAAATGTATACCTACTTGGCTTCCTCTTCCCTTGGTCGATTCCCCCACGCGGTAGCTGATTCTTCGACGGGTAATGGCGATTGGCGTCGCGTCGCGTCGTGTTTGGTTTAGTCGCGTGCCGAGACGCCGCGGAATAAGAACGTCTTCGATCAAGTAGTCGTATGGAGAAACGAGCTATCCTTTCGACCGATTACGGTGGCTTTAACTCTTTACCTTTAGCTTAAGATAAAACTTGTATCTCACTGGACGATATAGTTGGGGAGTGCGTACGTAGCAGTGATCCAGTGATTGTTGTCATTCTAGAGCTAAGCCAAATTTGGATTTCCAAGTGTTTTCTCCAAAAGTGTAAATTTTATTTTTACACGTTACTCGACGATCGCGAGTGGTTTTATTTTGCGTGTGTTTTCAGAAGAACGCAAAAGCTGTGCAATGATACCACTCGAATCAAACCAGTGTTATTCGTACGCGTAATCGGTCGTATAGACGGATTTGTGTACAATGTACATGTAGCGTGTACAGTTATCGCGGGCAAAGCGTTCCAATGAACGTGGACTTTTTCTGTGTTTACAATTAGCTGGAATGCCGTAGCTATCCACGACGCGAATCCTTTTAATCCACCAGTCGTAATCGACGCGGCTATCATCCGTACCATGTTTCTCGACATGGTATCGACACGAGGTCGATACACGATTAATGATGTTCCAAATATCAGATTCCAAACATTCGTAAATACGTTTCGAAAGATGTTACCTTTTCGCGCGAGAAAAGAGCTCGCCGACAAAATTTATCCGCGTACGCGCACATGTACATGTACGGTATCGGTATCGCGTTGAGTCGTCCAAGAACCGTACGTTATCGTTAGACGATGGAGCGAAACGTTTGATGATCGCGAGAAAAGTTTATTAGCCGTGATGGCACCTGTTACTGCCCTAAACTGGTCGGAGCCACGCCAACATTGGCGTTATCCGAAATTTTGTCCATCTGGACAGCAGAAGCACGAAATAGCGAAGAGCGCGATGGAATTGAGGAGCAAAGAGGCCAACACCGCGTACAAAAGATTTTGCAAGTTGTTGCGACGTCTGGGAAACAAAAAACGTAAGTCTCGTGCCCGACAACTAAAAATTACAACTGTAAAGGGTTTTATCTTTTATGGAACTCGGCGAGCCGACGAGCCGAAAATAATAATCGTCTAGTCGTCGTCGATTCTTTTAGTATCGAGTATTTAGTATTGTATTTTTAGCGATTTCTTCGGACCGTTTTGCCATTTAACCATTGGGAAAAGATTCGACCCACGTGACTCGTGCGACAAAGAACAGAACTATTCAACGAGAAGTAATAGACGACCCGCTGACATTTATCCCTTGTTATTCATATTTATTTTTCTTATGTGCCTCGTCCCACTTGGGTTTATTTTTTCCATGCGTCAACGGTTCTAGTTTAAATTGTAGTTTGATGAAAATAAACACGAAGAGAAATAACAACTCTGTTAACTATAAACAGTGTTTTATAAACACTGTACATTTTATCGTTTGAAATACTTTGTTTCTTTTTTGACCTTGTCGTTTGTGTACCTAATGACGAGACGAGACGAGACGAGACGAGATGAAAGCGACGAGTATACCTTTTCCGTGAAAGCGCTTATCCGCGAAATGTCACCTTCACTCTGTTGTTGTCATTTACGTGGCCACGAGAAAAGGTCGAGATGTTCCGATGCGCGCACAACGCGGCAAATACCGGCACGCGGCGGCGAGAACGTTGCGGTCGGATCCGTTCCGGATCCTTGGTTAGGGTTTGCCGTGCTTTTTGTCGCAAGCTGGATTTAGCCGGCTCGGATCCAAACCTCGGCAACGCATTTGCCAGAGATCGACGCCGCCGCCGCCGCCGCCGCCGCCGTCGTTTGACCCACTTTCGATCTTTGCGCGTTCCCTAAGGACCTCTTTTCCGCCAGAAACGAGGAGAGTATGTTCGCCAACGCTTGGAACATTCATTCCATGAAACCTCGTGGGAGAAAGTGGAGAATTTTTCTTGTTCCCGATAAACCAAACATCTCGAAGCGCAAGAAATTTTGGAAAATTCATTCATTTTCCTTTACTTTGATTCGACGACGCTCGAAATATTTCTCTCGGAAATGGCTAAACGACAAGTTCTCGATCTATTGTATAATTAGGTTAACGACCTCGAAGAACCACGTTATACACAAACGTGTACATAGTACATGAGAAAATTATTCTTATTCGGAAGTTGTCGCGTTCATTCCCGATTGCAATCGATCGGAAACAAAAGACGAAGCTTGTTCGCCACGTCCACGTGTACTGTTGCGAAAATTGTCTGTGCCAAAGGAAAAAAATAGCGATATATATAATATACGAAGAAAAGGTTACCCCGTGGAAAATGTTTTCGAAATGCCGAGAAGTAAATCATGGTCCACGTGGCATCTCATCGTTGGTTGCGCTCGTTCCGATAATCCAACGAATGACGGTAAATCGTGATCCGATTGTCGTTGTTCAAAATCGTACAGGTTCAACACGTTTCCTGTGTCGTGTGGCGTGTGGCGTGTGACAAGCACGTGGCTCACCGTAAATCATCCAACATATTCACCTTGCTCGCTCTCCGCACCTTGAACGAATTTTCATTTTCGGTCATGGTGCATAGAGCTCGCACGTCGGATTATTAAAGACGTGAAATATATGGCGCGAGGTTATTTTCAGCCACGATTCAATGAGAAAACCGGTCTGTGAACACGGCCCTCGTATTATCCGTCGTTGCATTTTATCAAGGTTATCCCTCTTGTAGACTGCGTTCGAGCGGCTAGCAATAGAATTACACGCGTCTCTAAGAACACGTCCGGGCAAACTGGTACACGATACACACCGCCTGACTCCAAGGTACATACGTACATATATGACATACGAGTACGTTCGTTCTCGATTCGTCGTTAAACGAATCAGCTATCCGAACTATACGTTTCAATTTCAAAAGAAACGTAACTTTGTTAATGCAATTTCGTCCCTCACGAGTATTTGGAATAGTTGGCGAGAGATTATCTTTGCACAAAAAAAAAAAAAAGAAGAAGAAGAAAAGAAAAGAAAAAAAGAAAGGAAAAAAAACCTCGAACAACGAGGGACACTGTCGTCGTCCGTCAGATTGTCTGTCAGACAACGACAAGAATCGTTGCAATAAAGTAGAAAATTGCTTGCCATGCGTTATAATCCGAACGTGTTGTTTTTTGTTTGTCTGTTTGTTTGTTTGTTGATTTCTGTTTGTCAAACAGTTATGCTAGCTATAGTACTATAATACTAATGCAGTTAGCGTTGAAAGTGGTTGTAGCACTTTGTAACCTGCCTCCAATTGTAACTTGTTACATCCGCTGTACTGTAGCGTTGTGGTTTTCGATTGTTTCTATGGGTGGTGCGATGTACAATGCAGGCAAGGATGGCAGCAAAGTGACGATCGTGTTGGCTACCCCTGGTGTCGGTCCGGATCGCCCCCAAGAAGTCGCCTACACGGATACAAAAGTAATCGGTAATGGCAGCTTCGGCGTTGTGTATCAAGCCAAACTGTGCGATACAGGAGAGATGGTTGCCATCAAGAAGGTTCTCCAAGACAAACGATTCAAGGTAATACAACGAGAAAGAAAACGTGCATGAACAAACTATTGAAACTTGTAGGGGCGTAGAGACTTCTAATTACATTTTCGTATTATTTATAGAACCGAGAATTACAAATCATGCGACGTCTTGAACACTGCAACATCGTGAAACTAAAATATTTCTTCTACTCTAGCGGTGATAAGGTAACTATTTAATTATATCTTTTGAATGCGTGAATCGAACAAAATTTGATACGCGTACAATTCATCGGTATTTCTCGATTACATCGATTCTATCGACTTACATACGTTCATTCTAATTTACGATAAGCTCGTTTATTTGATACAATTGTACGGAATATAACGCAATTTGTGGCGCAAGCAAAGTATGCGAACGCGATTCCACTTTGAAAAATAAGTAAAAGAATTTTGGACGGATAGACCAGACCAGACCCAGACCCACTCTCGGGGTTCGGTCGAAACTGAAACGTACGCAATCACCTACCGATCATCATCCATCTTCGAAACCGAAAGTAATTTTTCAAAACTGAACCACGTACGACGAACGTATCTAGTAAACCAACTACGTACCTTTACCTACTTATTTTTAAACGAGGAATTATTTGCTCCGATTCGTAACATTTTATTCAAAACACTTGCTCGGTTTTCTTTTCTTTCTATTTTTAGGAAAAATGTACATTCTTTCAAGTAACGAAAATCAAATCAAATCACTTTATATTGAATTACGTCGTCTATAAGTTTATTCAGAGTATTCGTATTAGTTTAATGCATGCGGCATTGTTGTGTTATTTTGTAGAACATCTTAAACGCAACTAATCCAGTTTTTCATGTGGACGTAAGTTAAAAGCGTACCCAGTAGTTTGAAAATTTAGGCAGTTCTGCTTTGAAATTAGAAAACGAACGAGAGTAACGATATACATAATCGTGTTCTTTTATTTTCTGAATGAGTGGATCGCGGCGATTAACATACAAGTTTAAATCTAGTAGGTAACGCAGCTTCGCTAGTTATAGAAGAGAATCTTCTGAAATAGTAGAATATGTTATGTAGCGAATCAAAGGTACAGAGCCAGGCCACGCATAAACTGCCAGTTGAAATCGATAAGACTAATTGAATGTTCTAGAGGAACAAGCCAAGCTAGATATACAGATTATTTGCTTTTGAACAAAGTGCCTTTGAGACGACACACTTTACGAGCGTATTAACGCGATTCGTTTAGTAATAATTGATTTGAAACTTTCTTTTAGAAGGACGAGGTTTATCTGAATCTAGTATTGGAATACATACCCGAAACTGTGTACAAAGTCGCTCGACATTATAGCAAAAGCAAGCAAACGATACCGATCAGTTTCATCAAGGTAAGGGGGGCGGATACATACAGTAGATGATGCTACTTGTATGCGTACTTGTTGTAGTTTAACTGATGGACTAATTTTAAAGATATTATAAATTAACCGTTAGATCGTTTGTTTGTATTTTTACAGCTGTACATGTATCAACTGTTCCGTTCCCTAGCGTACATACATTCCCTGGGTATTTGTCACAGGGACATTAAGCCACAGAACTTATTATTGGACCCGGAAACCGGAGTTTTAAAGCTTTGCGACTTCGGTTCGGCCAAGCATCTAGTTAAAGGGGAGCCTAACGTGTCTTACATTTGCAGTCGTTACTATCGTGCGCCCGAACTGATCTTTGGTGCTATCGACTACACTACAAAAATTGGTACGTTTACAAACGTATGGTACGGTCAAACTTACGTTATATAATGAAGAAATTGTGTTCTCTCTGCAGACGTGTGGAGCGCAGGTTGCGTATTGGCAGAGTTACTGCTCGGTCAACCGATATTTCCTGGCGACAGCGGTGTAGATCAGCTTGTCGAGATCATCAAGGTTCTCGGGACACCGACGCGAGATCAGATACGTGAGATGAACCCCAACTATACCGAATTCAAATTTCCACAGATTAAGTCGCATCCTTGGCAAAAGGTACCCTCTTATTTCGCTTGTTTTCTTAACCCTAGACGAATGAAACTGTAACAATAAAAATAATGCCACTGTCTACACACGATATGTTACATGTTAGGGCCTCTCTAAACGATCTATGTATTTTTCCAATGTCTAACTATTACTGCTATTACTGGTACACATTTTCGTCATTCTCGTGACTAAGAGCAACCGTAACAGATTCCGAATGAAAGTTGTAGGTTTACTTGTTCTTCTCGTACACTCGTTAACCGTCTTTGCATGACAGAAAAAAACAAACTACTCGTTTATGGGTATGGGTATGAGTAAGGTTCTGCGAGTCTCGTTTCTTCTAACTGAACGGTTTTGCTACACCTGTCGCGTTACAATCACATTCATCAATACATGTACTCGTGGTTACAGTTTATGCTTCAGCGAATGAGTGGACTAAAGTGTTCCACGGAGCACCAAAAGATTAGAGTAAGTGGTCCCTGTTGAAACACAATGTTTATTACATATCATATGGCTGGCAAATATTCCTCTATTTACTTTCTAGTCCATCGTACTAACCAATGTAACCAACTTTTCAGCATAATGATATACATGTACGATTATATAGGATATACATACATATGTGCAATCATTGCTAATCGATCCGTTGAACGGAGGATGACCAACCAAAAGATACATACATACCTTCGTTCGATCTTGCATCATACAAATCGCTCGACGTGCTCCTTTTCGAACTCACGTAGTACCCATTTTCTTTCCGACGTTATCATCATCTTCGTTCTAATTTTACTAACCACCAATTCTTTTTTTTTTTTTTTTTTTTTTTTTACTTTTTTCTTCTTTCTTTTCGAAACAATATGTTGTTATTACTCAACCTCTTTACATATATCACTTACTCTAATGTTCTGGTGGTAATTGAAATCTGTATTTTTCAGTGTCTAAACAAAAGTATGCAAATTCGATGTTGATTCATTGTTGCAACGTGTAAGAGTGACGAAAGGTTGCCTGAAGTTTGCGATTATCCGATACTCCTAAGTTTATTGTTCCATTGTTTATGTTTTTATGTATCTCAAGTGTATCTTCGTGGTACAGTTCCTGTTACAGTTATCAGATGTGGAACGTGTAGATGGTTTTCTGCAGAAATCTCTTTTTTATGTAAATATCTTTTATTAAAGAATAGTAGATACAGATGACTGGTTTATTGCCAGATTTTATCAGTAAACTTTACACCGGAATAATTTCAGAATTAAACATCTCATATTACTAATACAACAAAGGTTCTTGAATAAGTTCTTTAACGAATAAACTATACGTTTATGTTTAGTCATTGGACCTTTTCTGGTGGAAATGTTCAAGTATAGAGTGTTATATCGAACACGCCGCTTTTAACGTACTTGCCAATATTTATTCGGATTATATTATACATTGTGTTTATTTAAAATGAAGAAAAACGAAAACTTATTCAACGACCTAATATAATATCTAATACACTTATAACGCGAAAACTTCAACGAATTCAAACGAAACGTGTTGCTATCGTTTTATCGCTTTATCACAGAACTTCGTACAGTCTGTGTTGCCATGCGAGTTGCTAGTTTCTTCTTAGTCACAGAGGTTAAAACGTGGGTGATGGAATCTTAACAGTACGAACTCGATGATTTCAGGTCTTCAGGGCACGCACACCCCCGGAAGCGATGGATCTCGTCGCACGGCTTCTCGAATACACACCGTCGTTACGAATGACACCCCTGCAAGCATGTGCACACTCGTTTTTCAACGAGTTGCGAGAACAGGACACACGATTGCCGAACGGTCGAGAGCTTCCACCATTATTTGACTTTACAGAACAAGAGCTGCGAATTCAGCCCACTTTAAACTCGATTCTAATACCGAAGTACATGCAATCTTCGGACAGTCCTGGAGGTCAATCGGAAGCCACGAGTGCTGCCGCGGGGGCTAGCGGTAACTCTAGTGATAATAACGTCAGCACCAACACACCCTCCACTACACAGAATACAGATCCCAGCCAATCGAATATGGCTTAAGCTGCTTTATTTTTTAACGTTATCAACTGAGAGAGAATTCACTTTAGAGTTAGCCTTACGGTGGCGAGATGAAAAAGGAGAATCTAACCTTCTGAGGAGGATGTCCCCCAGCCCCAAAACCCAACCCCATCCCTAACCTACTGTAAATTGAACTCGATGCAACGGTGATACGAAGTGGTCTTTGAGCTTTGTTCGCTTACACGTATAACGAAAACAAAATTCCCTTGTAATGGGTTAGCTAAAGGACACGATTTCAATGGCGTGCAAACGCTTCATTGCCACCTTATTGCCAATTTGAATTCAATGTATATATATATAGGAAACTGGCCCGTAACCTCTTTAAACGTAAATTGCTATGAAAAAACCAACAACAACAACAACAACAACAACAACAACAACAAAGTTTTCTAGTTAAAAATGTGTAATCCACAATGTCTAGTAGCGCGTTAACGTTGCTTGCGTCGTCATTTTATTACAAAAAAAGATAAGGATAAAAAACTTGGAAATCAGCTCGACGAGTGACGATGAAAATGTATGAAGAAAGGATTAGAATGATTAGAATGATAGCTACATTCTCGACTCGCAAGACGTTGTTTCACTCGCCAAGACTGAAAATTTGCGTTTTTCACTGTGCGTGCATTCAATGATAATATAATATAATGATTCTATTATATTATGCTGGTCCGTGTTTCGTCCTGAGCGAAATAACCTGTAGGTGTGAAACATCCAGCGTAGAAAGAATTTTTCTATTACGTTGACATTTTATTGATCGAGAACCGAAGAAAAGACACAGAGAGATACGCAACAAATAATATCTTACACAGAGGATTTCGACTGAATGCAAATACAAATACAGAAATACGTATACATACACGCGCGCGTGCGGGGATATTTGCGTGCACAATCTCTGTTTGTCGTAAGATGAATTCCACGATGCAAGACACGCCGTGTACACTAGTATACCGTAAGAGAACCAATAAGATTTGAACAAACTAACGGAATTTTCTATTGCCAAGATATGATACAACAGCGAAAAAACAAGCATATTCGTGCCTATCGATCACGCTTCAACAATTCGATTCGTTAATATCCTCCCTTATTATTATCCTGTATTATTTCTACAACTATTGCTATTGTTACGTGTCTCTCACGATATTTTTCCTAAACTTATATTTTCCAAATTTTTTAACCTTCGTGACGAATTTCTAGACAACTTAGCGAACCAGTGTATTTCTTAAACGACACACAATATTTATCCTAAAATTGTTCTATAGCGTGAAAACGAAACATTTTAAATACCGTTATCTATATTTAACACGCAAGATTTGTACTTGTACTCTGCAAAGCAAAGTAAATTATCCAATTAACTTCCATGCTGTGCATCACCGGACACATACTCCATGTCCAAAGTATCAGTCGTAATGGCTTGAAATTTTCGACTATCTTCTCTATGTAGCGGCTTGACTTGACGTACAAAACCACGGGTTTTTTCCCTGGGAAACGTGGACCTTAAAATGAAAAATGTAAACCGGAAAGTATGTACGAACAAGTGTGTACATTACACGTATTGTTGACATACCTATGCAGCTGGACTTTCGAGACGTGTCGTGTGACTAACCACCCATGCATCTACATATCATTGCATCACAAGAGAAATAGAAGCAAGGCTGCCGATAAAAGAATTTTAATCGAATCAGTTCCTTTTTGAAAAAAAGAATGAACGTTACGGAAGAGAGAGGAAAAACGATAGATGAAAAGGAAGAGAAGGAGCGAAAGAAAGTGTGAGTGAGTGGAACTGGAGAGAGAGAGAGAGAGAGAGAGAGAGAGAGAGAGAGAGAGAGAGAAAATATATATATATATAATACTCGCTTTAGAGTTTTACGGATGTTGATGATATAACCTAAGTTTTAATCAACTAACCAGTTTTAGTAATGTCCTTTATTACTATGGGAAATTACGTGAATTTATTTCTTTTCCTCCTGATATCCAAAGAGAATATGCAATTTTGATATAATTCGGTATAATCCTGGTAATCAAGAAAATTGTTGTTACGATTTAACATTGAAAAAAAGGAAAAAAAAAGAAAACAAAATTAGTCAACGATCATGGAACTTTTTCGGCATTGTCACGCCTTTGCATAAATACATTATTTATTATAAAACTATTTTCCAACTTCAATGAAACATCAGATGAGTTGTTTACAAGGCTTATATAATGAAGCTTGATGGACGTAAATGTATACTTTAGCTTGTGATCAAAACAGTGAATTTGTAGATTTAAATTATCTATGTGTTCCTATAACAGCTGGCTTGATGTATCTTCATCCTTGTCAACCGATATTATAACTTAACCTACGCGTTACGAAGCAGTTGGTTAAGAAATGCGAACGTTCGTTTAATTACGTAGTGCTTGCTTCGAATTTTCTGGCCGGTAGAAACTCTAAATTCGAAAACAAAAGAAAAAGGTCCCGAATCTAGCTGTAAAATTAGACAGAAAGAAAATACATATAAAGTTTGAGTCACACGGCATCAATGTAGATTGTTGATTATTTATCTTAATTATTATTAATAAATAATACATTCAACGATTTAGTTTAATTTAATCTTTCTCATCTTGTCTTAATGTAATTATTCGACTCGATGTCCAAAACTGTAATAAGTAGCGACTTGTGCAATTGGCACTAAACTTTGTATATTTAACGTGTTTAAAAAATCTTTAAATAGTTCGGCATACGAAATAGGCCAAATTTGTGCAACAGTCACGCGTAAGATTAATTTAAAAAAAAAAAAATTAAAAAAAAAACAGGAAAGTAATGTATGGTAACAAAGAAAAAATATGATGAATCATTCTACAGGTTTATCTACGAGGAACTAAATACGCAGCCACTAGCTCGTCGATCAAATCGAACGCTAGTTGCAGTGGATTGATTCCATTTTTAATTTTCTTTTTATTCTTCCGAAGCTTGGACGCTACTCGACCACACACCTACAAAAAATAGAATGAAAAACCATGTGGGGAAGAGCCCGTGTAACATACTGAAAGTCTATATATATAAATAAATAGTGTGTGCGTGCGTGCCTGCGTGCGCGTGTGTGTGTATATATGTATCTGTATATATATGTATATGTATATGTATATATATATATCATTATATATATATATATGTATACGTATATGTATATATGTATATACGTGTATATGTATATGTATATATAAATATACGCAGATTAATTTTAATGATAGCGTTTAACGAATAACATTGCTGCTGTTGTAAAGAGAGGAAAGGAAAACTGATTAGAGATGGAAAAAATAATTCTTTCAACACTATATACTCGTTGTTTGCCTGATATTCATCACCGTTACCATTGCAAAACCACCACTTTCTTTTTCTTTTACCTTATTACATCATGTTGCACTCTTTCGAAGCATCTAGTAAATAAAGTGTAATAATTGTGTAAAGAAAGATTAATAAACTAATTTAATATGTATATATATGCATATATGTATGCGTGTGTGTGCATATGTATATACGTAAAATTGCAGAGTATTTAATCGTGCTATACCTATTAAGCATGATTAGGAGGCTTGTTATTACTCGAGCCGTGAGTAAGGTTTACGTTTGTCTGCTAATATTCGAAGCAAAGGTGACTATAGGTCGTAATATATTTCTACGAGTAACGTTGGTAGTAGAGCAGATGATACACAAAATTGAATCTCACTTACGAACCACTCGTGATGTTCCAAGTAACTGTTTCTCTTCGCCCAAAACTGCATTCTCTGCCGGTTTTACGGCAATTCTAAGATGGACCATTAATTCTTTGCTACTAACAAAAAAGTTGCTCTATTCAAGCTACACGTTGAACGATTATAATGAAACTAGTACAAGCAATGTATGTCTGACTATACATTTGAGAAAGCAACGACTCGAATTGTAGTTTATTGTTACGATAATATTAATTTGTATTATTTTTAGTTTTCGGTATCGTAGAACTACACATATTCGATGAAACAATAGACACACACACACACAAAACACACACAGCTGTAACTTCGTTTCGTTGTGAAATATATTACGATATTTCTCATGCGACGATGTATGTTTTTAAATTATAAGAGTGACTAACTTGATACGAAATTCATGAATGAAATAGTACAATTAAATTGGTTAACCTAATCGTCGGCGTATGCTTCCATTTTTACGGTAATTCGATGCTTATATATTCGGTTCACGTGCATATAAAATTTACCGAAATGACTGATTTGTAATTTGACGCAATAAAATTTCGTATTAAAGTCAAATTCACAATTTACGCAAGTTCAATTGTACTGTATCGATATAATTTGTACGCGAATAATCTTATTTTGTAACGTTTTCTACGTTTCTTGTAATCGAGTCTGTTTTCTATTATAGGTAGTGAATTATATGGAAATTAAAGTTGCAGATTAATGATCAAAATTTTGAATGACGATTTTCACCAACAAATGCGATATTACTGCGTATCCGAAAGGTGTTTACAAGTACCTTCGATTATACAATTATTGACGAAATAGAGAAAGGAGAGCCGTTGTAGCGGCAAATAATTTTATTCGGTCAAGGTGACTCTAGGTGACTACCCTATGCTTTTGTTGTGTTAAAACAGTGAGCATGTAAAAGAAAGATAACAGTAATAGAATATTGGTATTTGTGAAAGTTTCAAAGTAACGGAAACATTGTAGTCGAGATCCTTAGCAATACCGTAAAAGTGATAGTAGTTCCTGATAAAAGGGATGGCCTTGAACGAACAAAATTCTCCATCAAATATATTTCAATTTAAACAGAGGACTCTCGACGGTTGGTCCATGTTTATTCACTGATACGAGTCAATTGAAAAATCACGTTTCTACGTATCGATAAAGTCATGGACTCGAGGTTTTCCACCAGCACGCGCATTCATTTTCAACTTGGACACAAAAATTGAACGTTGTTTATAAAAAAAAAAAAAAAAATGATAAAAAGTTAAAAAAAAAAGAAAGAAAGAAAGTAACGAAGAGGGTAGTAGTCCGTTTTTGCGCTGTTTCGCGTACACTTTTCCTACTAGCCCACTGGAAAGAAAGAAAACGTGTCAAGTGTATATGTATACATTGTACATGACGCGTTGCGTCTGGGAAATCAACCAAGACGAGTTTTATTGTTCATAGAAAGGAATTTTCGAAACGGGCGCTACAAGAAACGGACGCTTTGAATTTTTATAAGCTTTTTACTTTTGCACTACTAGCGATTCTGTCTGTACTACTTTGTCGCGTTTATGCGTGTTTGATCTTCGCATAAGGTAAGCAGTAAAATCGATGGAACGACAGAGGGTAACGTAATGTCACTGACGACCAATATTTAAGACACTCGCACTATTTTCTTAATACATAAAATCGGATACGATGACCCGAAATATAATTGAGGGAATAAGATCAAAGTACTTTTTGCGAAGGAAACCCAGTGAAGAAGGGGGAGTACGAGCGGTACAAATTTCGCATAGAAATTTATTTATCCTGTAATTGTACGCGCTTCGAACAAGATCGTTAACGAGTTGCTTTTCGGGGCATCCTCTTCAGAAGTATCGTTTATCAGAGAGAATCGAAGATGAGTTGTGTTATATTTTTTAATGAGATATCGTTGAAACGCTTAGCGTGCTTGGATTCGATTGGAAAGGAACCAACCAACAGACACACCTTGTATGTTGTATCTCATAGCACCCGCTATACCATATGTCTCGTCGGTATAAAGTAAATCGCCAATATATTCTCTCCAGAAAATTCGCATCTGATTGTAAAGAGACCAATAAGATCGTTGATTGAACGACGAATAAGATCGTGTAACGTCTAACGATAAGATTTAAGACGATCGATGAGTCGTATGCTGGTATGCCTCGTAGTATTCACCACGTTAGAATGAAATTCCGTCGGAATTCCGGAAGAATATAGCACCTGATATCATTCTACACGATCCACTTCCCCGAATGTATCGCTCTCTATTAGAGATTTCCTTTTCTTGGTTCAGACGCGAGAGAAAACACTGTAAAAGAATGCGAAAGAGGGGGCAGTGTGCTAAGCACAGCCATGAAGGAGGAAACGGCGGTGGGGAAGAAAAGAGAAGAGGACGTACGGAATGATGAAAAGGAAGAGCAGAAGAATGTGGAGAAGCAGGCAGGCGAATAGAAGAAAAACCCTATTTAACCAGTTGCGGTGCAGAGAAAAATGCTAGTGCTGCAACCACCGGATGAAAATACGAGATCGTTTGTCGAGTAAGCGAGTAAGTGCTTGCCCCTTTCGGTATGACCATGGACTATAGTCGGTCGTTTACTCGAGTCTGCCAGAAGAGTATAGTCGTGAGCTGTCGCGTCGGTGCCGAGCGTCTAGTTAACTCTAGTTGACAATCCGTCTCTAGCAGACTATAGTTTGCTCTTGCAAATTCCCGCATCGACTATAGTCGGCTGTCCGACGTCGATGCCTTTATTATAGTCGTTTTATTTACCTAGCCCACCTATAACCGTTCGCTTGAGTTTGCGCGACAATTATAAACCGACTATAGTCACTTACCCGGATCCTTACCTGTGTCGATTACAATCTGTTAACTATAGTCGGTGATGGCTGCATTTTACGATAAACGGTTCGCTATAATCTTGTATCCAAGCTTTGCCGTATTAATTCGAATCGCCGATGGCTGAGTGCGCTCCTCGAGATTACAAGTCGACGGTAAACAGTGTTTATTTAAATCCGAGTGCCAAGTATCGTCAACAGCGACCAACTGATGAACACTTTACTCGCACGCCGACTATAGTTGATGATCGTTGACCAATTCCGTTCGACGCATGTAACCGTTGAATAAGTTTCGGAAAACTATTACCATTCCCTGATACCGAACTAGCATCTTATTTGTAACAAACAAACAAACATAAATAAATAAATAAATAAATAAATAAATAAACACAGACACTGACACATTACGCAAAATAACAAAGGAAACGTCCATTATTTATGACTAATCATCGACGGCACTGTTCGCTAAATTGTACACCGGTATTTACACGTTCGTTAATACCGAGAGGGTTGCCGTTACTCACAACTGTATGATACTAGGGAAAATTGTGTTGATATGCATAGTAATACGTAAAGAGAATATTTAAAGCAAGACAGTTAAAAAGAAAGATTAAAAATAAAAGAAATCCAGCGAGAAAGGAGTAGAGTTAGTTACTACCGCGAATACACGCCTATAAGCTAACAACTAACAAGACGCCAAGTTGATCGTAAAAAGGTGAGAAAAGTAAGAGAAACGAACGTGTTTGTGTCCTATGTGTGCTCGTGTACGAGTGTGTTGTCGGGTGCGTGTGAGCGAGAAGTAGCGCCTGGTGGCTGGTGCATGTAGAGAGAAACTTGCCCTCGGACTGGTTCTCTGGCGATAACCAGAGAAAGACAGAACGAAGTTGAAGCATGTACACATACATATATATATATATATGATTATGTACATGTATGTATAGGTAATTACGGCGACACTATATGCGATTACAAAAGTAGCCAACTATTATTACAATTGCTATGTTCACGATTGTCACCGATTATTCGAATTATTAACAATGTTCTATAAATCCTAAATGACTATGACGAATACGATGATACTTAAATCGCGCGTTGCGTTCCGCTACGTTCACTTGTCGGATGTGTTTAGTTTTACACGGTCACACACATAGTCGATATGGTAATGTAGAATATTAATGGATATGTGTTTAAGCGAGAATCGACCGCCTCTTTTCGCGAGGCTCTATATGATAATATTATTATTATTATTATTATTATTATTATTATTATTATTATTATTATTATTATTGTACATTTTGTGGTTTATTTAACAATAAAACGATAATGTTAACAGACCGCGATTTCATTCGCTGCGATCCCACCGCGCAACGTTCTAGCGTTTCCTCGAATCGGAGTATCGATCAGGATGAAGAGGAATAATTATGGAGGAGCAACTGAACTCTAGAGAAACGTTTATTCCAGAAAATCTAAACGGTAAAGCCAGGAACAGGTAATAAGTGTATGTTATCTTTTATCTTACGTTATCCGCGTCTGCGTCTGCGTTTGCTAAGAATTATTTTCTCTCGAGATCCCGTTGATGCTTTTATGTTTCATCACTGTTCGAACTAAGCAGCTGTCTGTAGTCTTGATATATTTTTAGTTTAGACCAACGTTCTCTTCGTCTTCTCTATGGATGAAAACTTGCTAAACGTGTAATGAAATGTTGACAAACGATGCACTCGTGATAGATAGCCTAGGCCTAGATCACCGATCAGCCTAGTAGAACCTTTCTTATCATTGCACCGCTAACCACTTCATCTCCATCCCGCGATTCTATGCACTTTCTACTGCAGAGATATTGTAGCAAAGGTAGACGGTATTTACCACAGAAATCGACGAATTTTACATGCTCCACTCTATTGTTGAAGAACACACCTACGAAAAAAAGAATGATAAATGTACGTATGTATGTGTGATATTTATGCATTCATAAGCGAGAATCGACATACTATATTAGTGTATCGACATTACATTGAAAAAGACTAGTTTTCCTGACCTTTACACTTGGGATTGACGCAGCGATGACCACAGTTGAGATACTCGACCAAGTTTCGTGGTATACTCTTTTCATCGTACCGAATGTCGCTGGTTTTAATTACTCTGGCAGCGAGCTCCAGCAGTGACGGAGGATTATGCGTCATATCCGACACGAACCTCACTACGAGCGGGTTCTCCCTTAACGATAACTAAACAAACATTTTTAGCATAAGATTAAGTTGGAGTTAATATAGTATAATTTTCGTAAAGAGTTACCTCGGTCAAACATTTTAACGTGATAATTTCGGTTGGCAGTGTTCTCAGCCTGTTCTTATGAAGCAGCAACGATTTCAAGTTAGCTAGATTTGCTATAGTACTAGGCAAACTCTCCAACATGTTATCACAGAGTACCAAGGCCTGCAATGATTTCAATTGGCCCAACGTGGATGGTACTTCTGTTAATCGATTGCCTCCCATCGATAGCACATGCAGTCTAACGGAAATGGCCAAAACCGCCGCGAATTAGTAATTTTCAGATCAGTAAATACAGATCTTTCCTTTATTTCGTTTGGTATCGTTATTCCGAGAAACGAAAGATAGTAAAATGCGAATACCTTTGCAATTTCCAAACATCTTTGCTGATTTCGCCGATACGATTCCCTCCTAAATAGAGGTATTTCAGCTCCGTGAGCTCGAGAACCTGTTCAGGGAAATCGATCAGTCTATTCCCACTGAGATTTAGTTCGCGCAGCTCTAGCAAGTTCTCGAAGCTCTTGGGCAAAGAGTCGTTGGACAAATTATTATGCTTGGCTATCAGACAGGACAGAGGACAATCCCCGAGAAATTCTGGCAGTTGATGCAAACCGCAATTCGATATATCCAACGAGTTCAAATTCGTGAACCTAACGATACCTGCAGGAATCTTGTTCAAGCGGTTATGATAAAGTAGCAACGTGTCCACGTGTTCTGGGCATTTCGTATTTACGAAATGATCGTTGAGCGTTTCGGTATCGAGCATCAGATATGACAAATCCAATGTCTTGCCATTCGAATCCGAATCGCTCGAGTCCGATGTATAATTCTCCATGGGCTCGACAAACGAACAACTTTGTTACGCCGCGCCGCGCCGCCTGAAAATGTTCAACATCGTCAGTGGCATATCGTCGTGATAGATGTCGATATTATCGATGGAATACCTACATTCCCTATATTCCCTCTACTAATAACGATCGCGACAAACTTTTATTTATTTATTTATTTATTTATAATCGTTCAATGTCTAGTCTCTCCAATGTGCAAGTCACTCGTCGTCTATTTCTTCAAGTTGTAGAAATATTACAAAATACGCTAAACTAAATGATATACATACATGAACGAAACGAGGAAAACGAATATATGTATTTGTCGACGACTAGCGGAAGCGTATCATCAACTAGAGTTGTTGACTCATTAATTCGGAAAAAATAGATAACCTTTTTCACAACGATGACTCGTCGCGTCGTTGTGTTGTTTTCTTCTTCAAATAAAAAGAGTCCAAGTAAAAGTAATTGGAAGCTCATCCATATAAAGAAATATTTTTGAAACAGCAAATCCTAAAACATCAAAACTAAATGTTATTTATGCATATACATATTATGCTACATCTATTACGACTTATTTTTACTCCAAGTGTGTGCATATGGTACATGTGAAATCGGATAAAACTGATCAAATAAATATTTTTATCTTACTCCCGGCTTCAAACAAACAATAATAGAATGTAAGTAAATTTTTGGGGGATACCTTCCCGATATAATGGAATAACAATTATATCGCGGTTGTTGTACTGGCACTTTTCACCTGATTTCCTATCACTGCCAATCGATCAGAGAAAATTGTTTCTTGTTAAAGATTTTCATTAAAAATCGTCGCGAATCTCGTTTCGCTAATCGGTGTGTTGGTGCAAGATTTCGCACACATGCTACTTCTTCCTCGGCTTACTTTGTTAATAATTACAACTCCTTTGCTTCGTGTTACTTGTGAAAAAAGCTTCTCTCTCTCTCTCTCTCTCTCTCTCTCTCTCTCTCTCTGCCACTTTGTGTAGTATGTATGTATGTTTCTCCGTTTCTCTTGTATCTCTCGTTTCGATCGTCGAGTTCTGCGGCCTGTTCAGAACAGAGAACACACAAGTGGAACGCACGATTACTCCGAGATGTACGGCCGCGCCGATTCAGACTGAACAATATCTGGTTTTATCAGTTGTCTTTATAAATTGGTTCAGTAGCGCCTGTCATCGTGGAAAAACGTGGATTTGGACTTGGGAGAATGTCCACGCGCTAAAAACAACATTTATCAAACGAACAAAACAACGAAATTATGCTCTTTTCAGTTCTCCCGTTATATTTTTACTCTTTTAATTCTGGTCACTTTTGCATCTACTATTCGTAATAATATCGATAAGAATCTTCGTGTATTTCGTAACATGAAATTTTCGATGTTTCGAGATATAATTAAAAATACTAAAAAATCAATAAATTTCCAAATTGTTATTTATCAGTCAGTCTGTAGGAATGTTTATGTCGCGGAACCCCGAAAACAACTCGATATGATTTCGTGAAATATTTCGTGAAAAAGCTAATTAAAATTGTAAACAATCATCAGCCAGAAAATAATCGGAGAACACAAAGGATACATACACTCAACACTACGGTTACTAGACATTCTTCATACCTATCAACTATTTTATTGGACAAAATTAATTACGAGAGTAGTATGAGAAGATTGCCGAATCTTCAGACTTTATGTTGCATATGTAAAACTTAACAAACGATTAATTGTAGGGAATGAATGATTTATTAATTGTCTACGTGTTTTACCACCGATAAAGTCAATGGTAAAAAACAACTCGCCATCCAACAGGCCCAACTAATTTTTCATTATATTCGTCGAGCCTTACTCGACATATGTCATATACGGCCGCAAACGGTTAAAGCAGGTTAAATGGCATGAAGAGATATCATTTAGTAATAAGGAAATATAAATAAATATATAAGATGTTACACCAAGTATAAGAAAATCATATTTAAATTTCTTTTGATGATTCTCGTATTAAGAATGTTTTGTTAAAGATTGTAACAATATACAGACAGAGGAGTTGTATATGGGCATATATGCCCATGTGCCCATGTACTTGGATACTGTTGAATAAAGAACACAACAACAAACGGTATCGCCGTCCAGCGGTCAACAGGCTGAACTAATTTTTCAAAGATATATACATGCATATGTATATATGACATTTATTATACTACTAATACCTCATCTCTCTTATAATTAACTTAAAATACAATTAAATAACAAGTGTAAGAAATAATAAAATGATTAGCGCACGTGCGATTATGTCAAATTGATTTAAAACTGGTATTCGTACCAGTGGCGCCATCGGTGGCAAAATGCCCAAGATTGTAGTAGAAATAGTAGTTCCCACTGTTGGTATTAGATGGCGCCACTAACTAAAGGGTCGATAATTATTGCTGCATTAAATAACTCTTAATAAAAATGATAAATTTGACATATTATCGAACATATTGTAGTATTACAAAGCAAGCAATCGTATTAGTTATGCATTTATAGTAAATAAAAAAATAATTGAATTAAGTAATCGGTGGCGTCATCTTACAAAACCAGTATAAACTATTTTTATTACAGTACAAACTTGGGCGTTTTGCCACCGATGGCGCCACTAGTACTAAGCTTTAACCCTTTGCGCTCGCATGTCGAGTGAGGCTCGATTAATGGTTTAAAATGTGAAAATGCAGACTACAAAAGGTTAAATTAATTAAAATTATAATTTAACTATAATATTTTCACTAAAAATTTGAGTGTTTTCTCACCGAAGGCGCGACTGATGGCACTGCTGGGCACTGCTACTACGCCAGTGAGTGATTGGATTGGCTGCTTCCTGCTTGCCAGTGGTGGCTGGCTGTACCAGATGAGTTGCAATGAGTAGTAATACCAAGTAGTATGAAGCAAGTATGAAGTAGTACCAGTGTACAGTTCAGTATACATACTTATTCGTGTTTCATAAGTTATGCTCTAATTACAAAACATACAAAATTACTTACATTTAATCCATTCATAAATGTAACGAATTAATAAAAATTACTATAAACGATTAACAAAGTGATTATTTAAATATTGAAACAAGTTGTACATTTTTATACATAACCTGTTCCTGCTATGCGGATCCATTTGTAATTTTTAATTTATTTGAATGGCTTTCCTACAAAAATGAACATGTACGTTCGTCGAGTACAATTCTTTTGTACGTACACCGCAAAGTTACCTATAAGCGTAACAGGCTCTACAAATTCTAATTTGCAGAAGAAAAAAATACGATTGCACAATCTTATTTGGACTCGTATAGAAATGTATAAAGAAGCGTTAGTAAATCCTCATTTACCAAAAGAAACTTGGCAAGAGATAAGGAAAAATATAATGGACTCTAGACTTGTTAAACCAATGGCAGTGGACTCCTTAATTATGGAATTATGCTACAATGAACAATTTGCAGATGCAGGAATATCTTATTATAAATTGTTGGAACAAAATAATTCTCAATTTTCTGTAATTACTGCTTGCAAATATTTGCTATTGTACAAAGTAAAGCAAAGTCCGATTACAGATGTAGATAAACGCCACATTTTAAATGTATATAAAACTGTCGTAAAACAATATCCGGTATTAGATTTTTTCGTAGCTACTTCTTGTATCGTTACCTTGTGTAAAATTGATGAGTGGGAAAAAAGCATTGAAATTATAAAATGTTACGAAATGCACGATTCAAAGTTCCTTAAAGAGGGCTACAGTGTATTGATCGATTATTTACTCAATCATTGTAACATGGAACTTGCCCAAAAATATTTAATTTGCTCTTTCAAAAAGGATGTAGGACCTCTAAATTATGTATATAATAGCTACTTGAAATTATGTTTGAAGGATAAGCAAACATTTAATGAAAACATTGAGAAATTGTTTAAATTGTGGATGCAATACGATATTAAACCAGACGTGGGTACTGTAAAAGAATTTATACAGATTTGCAACAAAGTTGGTTGGTCAGCAAAAATAACAACTTTGATATTGTAAAATATATATGTTAATGTTTCTACGTATACTTTTAAAGTTTCTTATTTTATTGATATAATTCTCTTCTTTAGCACAAAGTGTTCCGCATGTCAACAAAGAGTGTTGATACCGCCTTTATCGGAAGAGGAATTTAAACGTTTATCCGAGACTGTACTGCAAAAACTGTTTGTCGAAAAGGGATACAAATCAACTGTTCCAGAAGAGATAGTAGAATTTATTGAATTTGTCAAGGAAACAAAACCATACGATATCATTATCGATGGTTTAAATGTTTTACACAAACAACATAGTCCAAAGAATTACAAAGTGGTATTAAATTTGACTTTATTTAATATTTAATACTAAATAATAAATAACCACTATTTAAATAGGCGATTGAATGCAACGTAACGATATAGAAAAGTTTTGATTAGCTGTGTAAATTTTCTTAGAAATACATTCGGTACCATTCGGTTTCAGTTGGATGCACTTCTTACACACTTTAATGCACAAAATCAAAAAGTACTTGTTATCGGACGAAATTATTTGACAAAGTTCAAATGGATAAAGAATTTGCAAACGAAAGCAACTTTTTTCTTTGTAGATGATAGGTATGTATTAAAATAATATATACACAAATTACATATTCTATCAAACTACAAATTTCATTGTCTTGATATTTTAGCTCAAAAGATGATCCATTCGTGTTATATGCAACATTATTGAATGGAAACAATGCTAAATTTATATCCCAAGACTTGATGCGTCAACATAAATTTGATCTCGAAGATGGTGAATCACGTGCCCTTTTTAAGAGGTGGCAATTCACACATCAGTACACCTTTACTGCCCATTTAAGTCCATTTAACCTGAGTTCGAATACGATAGACTTGACTTTGATGCAGAACTATGTAACAACCAATACAAACTATATTCATTCTAGTGTTCACAAACAAAATAATTGCTGGCATATACCATTTCAACTTAATGCAATTGCAATACAAAGAGTAAATTATGTACATTCAAACCATTGGGCTTGTTTTAACATGTGTGAATAAGAAATATAGATGAATAAAATACATATTTTTATATAAAATTCTGAAATTCTCATTTATAATTCTATATTGTAGGAGTGTAAAGAAAAAATAGAGGCCGGGGATTCGAACCCACGATCCTCGGATTCCGAGTCGACCGCTTTACCTACATGACCGGTCCGGGGTCCCGCAAATATGAAGTAATTTCACAGTAAGTAGTTGGACGTCGCTTCATAGAAACCGACACAAGTATGGAGAAATTTCGATAACTGGCGCTGCAATCGCATCGAGTCGCTCCAATCGTGTTTTTACGATCGGTCGATGGTCGCTCTTACACTTTGGAGATTTTAGTTCGATACACTTATTTTTATTAGAAGCAGATTTTCAATTTGCAGACGATCCTATGAAAATCTTGAAAAACGGAAAAATCGGGACGCAACGCGTAGTGCTTATCTACTTGTAATCGGAATCGGAATCGTGAAATATGTGATTGTTGTACACACGTTAAGTTCCACGGTTTTACGCCATCTTAGTCTGTCATCAAGCTAGCGGTACGAATTTTCGTAATTGTTTTGCGTTTCTGAAAACCACTTGTGTCAATTTTTGGACAAAAGCTTTGCAACCTTTCTTTAGAACTGTGAAAATTGCTTCTCGGTAATTTGGCGTCCGGTGAGTGAAACTCGTTCTTTTTTTTCGAGATTGTTGCTAACAGTGCTGTTGTACGTCTTTTGCGTACGTACAATAGAATATCGTAGCCTTTAATTAGTAAAATTTATTTGTCCATCTTAAAAAGATTCTCCGAAAAGTTTGTCTTTGACAAGTATATCAAGGATCGCGATCCTCTTTAGGAAAGTGGGATGATACACTGAACAGAGGAGAATTCCTGCATGGACCGTTCTGAAAAGTAAGTCGAATTATTGTATTTTCAAATGTTTCTTCTTCTTTGTTTATTTAAGCGGTTATAAGAGGTAAACGCATCGTTTGTCAGGCTTACAAGTTGCCACGCCTTCGACAGGCTGTTACAACCGGAAGTAAATCGTTTTAATTCATTTCCTTAGAGTATGCGAAACCGTGACAGAAAATCAACTACCATGACGATGAGATTTCGATGATAGTTGTATCCCCTATTCTGGTGTATATGTATATTTAGAAAGAGTCACTAATTTACTAAATAGAAAGGAAACTCGGTGACAAAAAACGATTTCACTTTACGTTGTAATCGTTGTGTGGTAAATTGATGATTTAACATAGACGAAGAAATGTTAAAATAGTAGGGTGTCGGTTAAGTAAAGTGCAACTGTTTGGAATGGAACAATGGACTCGACTTTATTTAAACGAAAATATTTATTCCAATGTTTAAAGAATTTGCGTTACAAACATCTAAAATAGCCAAACAGTGTGGTAAACCGTTATCACGATTCGTTACGTATGTAGGTACAAACGAAACTTGAGACGAATATTGTCGTCACACGATACGAATCTTAATCAGCGCAACGTTTCAAGCGTTGTGTTGCGTCTTATAAATATAGACCATCAATTGTCTGCAGCTATCACACACCATTTGTGACTAAAAAATTCGCTACATTTACTCGGACTTGTTACATTCCCGAACTTTCAACAATCTTGTATGAAATTTCAATCATGGATCGTTGATGTAATTTGTTGTAGTTTGCATTTTTCGAAAATACTTTCGATAAAATTACGTAAATTTCGAGTGGTTTGTTTTTATCGGTACGGCAACACTTTCAAGTGTAAAGGAACAGAATATACTTGATTTTTCGTAACTTGTTTAACTCTTTACTTCTCTATCTCGAAATGACAATGAGATCCAGCAACTCGTCAACAGTTGAATGACGAAAGTGAATGTATATGTATATACATATACCGAGAGGTGAGAGCCAGCGAGATAAACGACGAGCGAGGCTCGTATTACACGTGTCGCCGCGCCGCGCGCCGGTTGCTAAAACTTGGAAGAGACGCTCTATACATACATATACATGCACCTATCCCCGTGTGTTAATACATCAATATTTTTATATACATATTTCATTAGGTTCATGTCAAACTATTCTCGAAGAAAATGTTGCGCGATTCATATGTTTACGACAATCTATGCACATACGAGTGCGCGTGATGATTTACATGCTACTTGGAATGTTCCGTCGTCATAGTTTTCGTGAGTCATCGGCTACCAGTCACTATGTATTTCCCTTGAAGCCGAATGATTGCGAAAATAGTCTATGAGTAGCGTTCTTTTCCAGTTGAGATTCATTAATGTCTTCAAATTTCGAGCTTGCGAGACAATTTATATCCGTAAAGTCTTCGTCAAGTGTCACAAGTGTCGTATCTACTAGGTGTACGTGTCGATCACCCTCTTAGAAGCTTCATTCATCGCACTCTTACGCACCCTCCGATTATTCCTATTGACCGACTAACGTTTATTTCCGTATAACTGCAACGATAGGCGTAGTAGTACGATCCTTTCTTATGCAGAAACGCATCCATTCGTCTCGTTACACTTGCTGGACGCACCGATATCTCTCCGAACATACAATTTCGTGTGTTCAGTACGGAAACATTCGTGAATCTATGAAACGCATGCGCAATCTTCCACCCCCGTTACCCCTATTTCGTGCAGAGGGTGCGAAGCCAAACGTAACCCCTCAGTAAAGAATTAAACGCGATTCCGTGAGGTGCCCCTTCGAAAAATCACATTACAGGACACTGTAGTGTACATATACATATATACATATTATATTATATCTTATATTATATATATTATATCTATATCTATATATATATATATATTATATTTTTTTACCGTCGAAATACGAAATACGAAATACGAGATAGATGACTTTTTTTACAAAAAATTCAACTGACTGAAAGTGACAATACGTCCACGACTGTGCCCGCGGAAATAGTAGACAGAAAGTTGAAATTTTGTTTCTCTACGAATTAGGTAGGTTCAACAGTGTTCAACATTACCGATGTGTAGAAGAGATATGTCAAGAACGCTGAATGCTTACAGAATGTGAGTAGTTCTTCCCTACTTACGGATCCATCTCATACTATGTATATCTATTTTCATCGTTCTCACCTCTTTATTTAAACAATTTTTTTTCTTCTACCAACACATCGTTCGGCCGAGTATTCTTGCACCGTTCTATTGTTTACGGAGGCATAACAAGCTCTAATTACTGTCCACTTTCATTAGAAACTCGAAACAATTTGTCCTTCCATATCGCGTCACCGGTGAAACGTTCGTATTCAACCGATTCCTTCTGTACACATTCTTTCGAAAAATCCTAACTTTGTTTTATGACTTGCTCGTAAACATTCCTAACTTCGTTGAATCGGTATAGAAAGGATCTCGTTCAAGGTTATTCGTTAAACGATAGCTTTTCAGTTGAAATGGCGAGGTCAAGGCCCGTTGGGGACAGCGATTGCACGAGGTCAAGGCTTTACAGGACCAAAATTCTGAAATTATCATCTCGCTTTATAGTATTCTCAATTCTCACCCGTCATTAACCATGATTATTAATGTAATTACTATATGTACAATTTTCCGTTAAAAATTTCTGCCTTTTGCCATCGACGATCCATTATCTTCTTTCATACCTATACTATACTATACTATACTATAGTATACTATACATTCTGTCGCATAAAAGACACGCAGCGCCGTAGCGCTTGCGCAAGCTCGGAAGTATCGAGCCATTGATTCTGTCGGGTCGGGTTTAACGCGATCCCGACATGGGGTAAGTTTCTCATTGAAACAAATACAACTACTATCGATCTTTGTGCTACTTTGGCTAGTTGATCGAATCTGTTAATAATCGATTCGATCGTTTACACGTCGTACTACGAGTTCTTCAACATTTTTTCCATTCAAATAATTACTTTATACGTGTGTGACATAAGAATATAGACGTTGTGACAGTTGCGCACGCGTGCAATATAGTAAACCATTGATTTCCGCGGGTTTAACACGACCCTAACGCGAAATAAGTTTCTATTGAAATTTACTTTGTTACGATCAATTCTAACTGTTTGCACGAATGTTTCGGTTGGTTGTATTTGTCAATCGAATACCGACAATTGTATATTTATGTAAAAACGAAAATGTTCTATACTTGGCTTCGATCCGAAACGCTGTTTGCGCTACAAACGCCGGTAATGTTCTGTTTGTCTCGACCGAAATACTTGCCGATGCCTATTTTTCATTCCAATTAATTATTATTCAAATATTTTTACCCCTTTCCTTTTTTTACCTTTCCGCTCAGATGAACAACCGTCAAATTAACTAGAAATGTTTGACAATAATGTAGTGAAAATAAGGCTAAAATACTCAGAAAGTTGGCTACCCTTAAAACAAAATGTATTGTCGTTGATAAACAAATAAATGAATTAAGACTGAAATTAGTGCATTTTTATATTATTATCATAATCTCTTTTCTTTTGTTGTCGTTGTCGTCGTCATCGTCGTCGTCGTCGTCGTCGTCGTCGTCGTTGTCGTTGTCGTTGTCGTTGTCGTCGAATAAAATATATTCTTTAGACATTTAAAATACAAATATTTTATCTAGTTTTCACTATTATTCTCCGTTTGCACAGTTTTAATTAAATTTTCGTCTTTCTATTTTCAGCAAAAAAATCGAAAACATTGGTAGAATGACGGCCATGACACAGGAAGAAATTGTGGCTGGCGCGAGGACAGTTGTCCAAGGATTAGAGGCTCTTCGTGTAGAACACGAAGGTCTTTTGCAGGGGCTACAATCACAGGAAGCACCGGCTGCCAGAGACAAAGCCGGCTTATTATCGAAAAACATCGAAATGATAGAGTTAGGTCTCGGCGAAGCTGAAGTTATGATGGCTCTTGCTAATCACTTGCAAATGGTTGAGGCTGAGAAACAAAAGCTGAGAACGCAAGTTCGAAGATTGTGTCAAGAGAATGCTTGGTTAAGAGACGAATTAGCTGGAACGCAACAAAAATTGCAAGCTAGCGAACAAGCGGTACGTAACTGAATTTAATTAAATTCTGTTTGTTTTGGACAATGAAATGTAATTGTTATCGAAATATTTGTATTTTCATTAGGTAGCCAAATTGGAAGTAGATAAAAGACAATTGGAGTTCATGGAAAGTATGAGACAATACGATCCTGATCCTCCCGCTGACGATGAGAATGCCAAAAAAGACATACCAAAAGTTACTCCTGTGATTGACCTATTCCCTGATGATGATACGGACGACCGAAATAGTAAATGTATGTTCATCATCACTTGTGGATGTTCAAGGTTCTCCTCAAGTCTGTGCGAATAATATAGAGGAATTTTACAAAAATTCTCGTAAAATCTATTTTTGGATAGTTTCAAAATGCAATTCAATCAACTAGTATACAGTAAAATTCTGTATTCGCATAGATTTAAGTCACGAAAACAGGCTACTTTTTGTAACGTTATCGTTTTGATCGTAGCTATAACGCCAACACCGGCTTCGCAATTTGCACAGCAAGTGAACGCTGGATATGAAATACCTGCACGTTTACGTACACTGCACAATCTGGTTATTCAGTACGCGGGTCAAGGTCGGTATGAGGTGGCAGTACCTCTTTGTAAGCAGGCCTTAGAAGATTTGGAAAAGACCTCTGGCCATGACCATCCTGATGTCGCTACGATGTTGAACATTCTTGCTTTAGTGTATAGAGATCAAAATAAATATAAAGAAGCAGCTAATCTGTTGAACGATGCCTTGACTATTCGTGAAAAGACACTTGGTGAATTCCATCCTGCAGTTGCTGCAACTTTGAACAATCTAGCCGTACTATATGGAAAACGAGGCAAATATACGGAAGCCGAGCCATTGTGTAAACGTGCACTCGAAATTCGAGAAAAAGTTCTTGGTCGTGACCATCCGGACGTTGCGAAACAACTAAACAATCTCGCGTTACTCTGCCAAAACCAGAGTAAATACGAGGAGGTTGAACGTTATTATAAGAGGGCTCTTGAAATTTACGACACTAAACTCGGACCAGATGATCCTAATGTAGCGAAAACAAAAAATAACCTTGCATCGTGTTATTTGAAACAGGGAAAGTACAAGGATGCGGAAGTTCTATATAAACAAGTATTAACCAGAGTCCACGAAAATGAGTTTGGTGCTATTGATGGCGATAATAAACCAATTTGGCAGGTAAAGATAAATGATACCTTCGTACTTTCGAATCATAATAAGAATAATCTCATTTCATCTTACCTAAATGTATGTTTGTTTGTTTGTTTGTTTGTTTGTTTGTTTGTTTGTTTGTTTGTGTATGTGTGCGTGTGTTGTTATGAGAAACAATTTTTTAATGTTAGGTTGCAGAAGAAAGAGAAGAAAATAAGCATAGAAATAAAGAGAATGCTCCATATGGAGAATATGGAGGCTGGCATAAAGCTGCTAAGGTAGATGCACCGACGATGGCGACTACCTTGAGAAATCTTGGTGCATTATATCGACGACAAGGAAAATACCAGGCAGCAGAAACTCTGGAAGATTGCGCTCTGGCGACACGAATGGATGTAAGTTCGGTAATTGTCTAATTCCGTGGACCTACAAATTCGTCCAATCGTTGCACGTTAATCAAATAGTCGAAAATAATTCAAATAAAATTTATAACAGTATACTATACCGCTCTATGGCTAAGAACCGCTTCACCTTTTGTACAAAGTCAGATTTCAGCGCCCACTAAAATACAATTTCCAAATTAAAATTAACTTAATTTCAAGAAATTTGTAATAACGACATCATAACGATTTATATTGGTTGTTTCTTTTGAATTAGGCATTCGAGTTTGTGAAGCAAGGAAAAGTCGCACAGTTATTAGGGGAGGAAAAAGTATCGACGAGACGTGGTTCGCGGTCCAGTTTGTCAAATAGCGAACACGAGCAACACGACGAGGTAAGTTGTGTCAGTTATAAGAATAAATATTAGTCGCACTGCATGTTGTAGCACACGATTAGTCGTCTACTATCCTTTTCTTCTGTCTTTTTGTTCTTTTTTCGTTATCCGGCCCGTTCTGACGAATTGGCGATACAACACACAATCACAGGGCTCGCTGCCGCTGGTACAAAGGGCGCTTCACGAAGGACAGTCTGGCCATCACGACGCTAGTCCTAACAAACCCGGTTTTAAAAACAAGATCTTTCAAGCTTTCGGAATTCATTCTTCCACGTAGGATTATCCTTCGTCTGTAGTATTGTCTGTCGATTGATTATGCCCGGTAACAAAGATTTTTCGGTATAAATCATTCAAGGTCTGTACTCTTAGGACGAAAGTTGAGATTTAAACGTGCACTGCGCGAGCAAAGCAAAGCATAATATTTAGGGATTTGTTTTTTTAAATTTATAACGGTCTAACCTAAATATCGAGAAATACTACAATATTGCGAAATGTCCTTAATGTTCCTTCCTAAATAGCACGCATTTCTAGGAGAACGTATAGTTGAACATAGGGACAGGCCTTTTTGGCAATTTTGGGCATTTTATATTCTTTTTCACGATCAGGTGTTTCCGATAATCCAACGAAAGCACATTGTAACTGCACATTCTTTTATTACATTTACAAGTATTTCGACTACGATCATTGCTATTTCCATGACCGTTTTTACAAAGTATTGCGTAGAAAAGTACTACAACCTTTATAAATCTCTTCCACTCGTAAGCTGTGATAATAATACCCTTTGATGAATTTCGCTTTCATTCGTTTCTTTCTTTTGTCTTTAATGAAACTGACGATATATGTATCTCGTATTTTTAAACTTTAACCAGGATTCGACGGAGGTGCTTTTTATGGAGCATTTGTTCTTTACTTTTTCATTATTTATCTATAATGATGATAACTACTGAAACTTACGCTTGTATTATACACAGCTATATAGAGAGCGATTAGAATAAACAGAACTTCCAGAGATAATTATTTTCATGAAAAATTACAAGTCTGCTGTTGTACGTGTTGCTCTTGGCTGATAGAAAACTTATCAATTATCAATTGCATAGATAAAATAATAGCAATTGTCAGCAATTGTTTAAAAAAATCGATTAACAAGTATCGCTTTATATTTGAGCTATTTTTCTCAAGCCAAAACACTGTAAAACTACAGTGCTACGCGCATGAAATTGAAATAGCTGATTTTTGCAGCAGCTTTGCTTAACTATATAATTCAGTATAGATCAGCAAAGATGATATTTAATGTTGTTTCATGTGCAAGGAAAATACATTATTATCTCTGTAATAGATGTCTCTTATGATATTCTCACATATCCTATGCAGATTTAAAAACACACACACACACACACACACACACACACACACACACACACACACA